ACCAGATTGATTTTCGGGTTCATGCTTAGCTTGTGAGTGGTTATCTACGGTGGGATCCCTATCATATCAAGATGGGACCAAGAAAAATAATCTATATTAGCTACAAGAAATTGAATAAGTTTTTTCCTGAGCTCGGGAGTTAACCCCGTGCCCAGGTATACCTTCTGATCGGGTAGATGTTCGATCAATATAACATGTTCCAGCTCTTCGACCGTTTATTTGGTTGCATCGGAGTCATCGGGGATTATAAAAGATAGGGGAACCCTGTAATCATCGTCTTCATAAGTCCTCTGCTTATCCGGTTGGGTCGTGACCGGTATCGGTGAGTGCTATTTGGCCTCTTGGTTTGCGCCCGAATTCGGTTCCTTTGATGTTGGGAGCATTGATATTGGAATCACTTCTTCGACTGCAAACATCTCTTTTGCGGTCAGTTGTTCCCCGTAGATTGTCTTAACCCCCCCTCCCCCTCCCCCCTGAGAGTAGGGAATTTTAACACTTGGTAAAAGGTTGAGAGCACTGCCCTCATGTTGTGGATCCATGGCCTTGAATTGTACCTCATGTCTCCTTAGATCACATAAAACTTGGCCTCTCATATGGTTCCGGTGGTATTGAACGGTATCGTTATCTCCCCCTTTTTGGTTTCACATGCCATGTTGAACCCGTTTAGAACTCGGATTGCAAGCACGATTCTGTCTTGTAGACCGAGCTGCTCTATGACCCTTGACCGAATGGTGTTGGCCGAGCTACCTGGATCAATCAACATACGTTTAATTCAAGTTTTATTTACGAGTACATATATTACTAGTGCATCAATGTGAGGCTGTACGATCCCTTCCGCATCCTCGTCGCTGAAAAATAAAATTCCTTCCGGTATGTAGTTTCGAGTTCTTTTCTCCCTAGTGATGGATACTTTGGTGCATTTCAACATCGGCCCCTGTGAGATATCGACTCCACTGATGATCATATTAATGATGTGTTGAGTTTTTGTATCTTCTTATTCTGTCTGTTTGTTAGAATCCCTATTCCTGAAATAATTTTTGGCCCGGTCGCTCAAGAATTCTCGAAGGTGCCCATTGTTAAATAGTCGGGGTACTTCTTCTCTCAGTTGTCGACAATCTTTCATTCTATGACCATGAGTCTCATGATATTTGCACATCTGGTTATGATCCCTTTCAGCTCGATCAAATTGTAGAGGTCGAGACCATTTGGTATCCTTGAATGCCCGATAGCTGATACGATGGCGGCAACATCGACATTAAAGTTGTATTCCGATAGCCTCGATGCTTATTTAGGCCCGATGGACCTGTCGAAGTTGTTTTTGGTCATGAGCCCCCGTTTGCTTCGACCTTGGTCATTTCTACTTTCGTTTCTTATGGGGTTTCGCCCGGATCCACTTCTCATCCGATCTCCATTATATGGGAGATATTAATCCCTGTTTCATCTTGGTTCACGATCGATGTCTCTCTTGATTCTGTCGAGGGTTCTGACAGAATAAACGGACTCTGAAGGAGCCCCGAGTTGGTCATCTTCGACTCTAATTTTCGATTGATACCGGTTATGTACATCGGCCCAGGTAACGGCAGGGTATTCTATCAGATTCTGCTTTAGTTGCTGTGAAGCCACCGAGCTTCGAATATTGAGTCCCTCAGTGAAAGCTTGAACGGCCCAATCATCAGCGACTGGCGGCAGATCCATTCGTTCCATTTGAAAACGGGACACGAATTCTCTAAGCATCTCATTATCCTTTTGTTTGACTTTAAAAGGGTCTGATTTCCTGGTTTCGACCTTGATGGCACCAGCATGTGCTTTTACGAAAGAGTCTGCAAGCATAGCAAATGCGTTAATAGAATTAGGAAGTAAGTTGTGATACCATATCATAACTCCCTTTGACATGGTCTCCCTAAATTTTTTCAGTAGAACACACTCGGTCTCGTCGTCTTCCAAGTCGTTTCCTTTGATGGCACATGTGTAAGAGGTTACATGCTCGTTTAGATCGGTCGTTCCGTTATACTTAGGTATTTCGGGCATACAAAATTTCTTGGGGATCGGCTTCGGAGCCACGCTCGGAGGAAAAGGATTTTGCACGAACTTCCTGGAATCCAGTCCTTTCAATATAGGAGGTGCTCGCGGGATTTGATCTACCCTGAAATTGTAGGTTTCCACCGTTTTGTTGTTCGATTCGATTTTCTTTTCCCCTGATTCTATCCGCTTTGACAGCTCCTCGAGCATCTTTATAATCTCGAGGTTAGTACCTGATTCTTGTTCATTTGACCTTACTACGACCGGTTCATTTCTGCGGGTGACTTCACGGGGCGGATCGAGTTCAACCCTGCTCGGCGCCTGGCTTTGGCTCTGCAACTGAGTTATCGCCACCTGTTGAGCTTGCAGCATTTCGAAGATCATCCTTAGGCCGATCCCGTCTTCTTCATTATTTTGTGTGTTTTGATCTGCCGATCAGGCCCCACCACAGATGTTATTTTCGGGGTCGGTAGGCAAATTTGCGTCGATAGCCACATGTGAATTAACATCAATCGGATCTGCGAGTGGAATTCTAACGGGATCAGCGGGTGGCCCTACGTTACCGGGCGTCATGTTATTATTCTCAACCTGATGACCGGACTCGTTATCGATATGTAGGGGTGCTAATTGAGAGTTTGGCATTTTTAGCCCGAAATCAAAGGCACTTCAAAGAGCAAGTATAAAATAGTGTGTGTTACGGAGATTTGTATCAAATAACCACTATTATCCTTAGCCCCACGTTGGACGCCAAACTGTTTACCCTCAAAATCGGATAACAATTGAATTTGTTAGTGGTTTAAAGGATGTGGGGATTAACTTGATACAAAGCGATAAATTAAATTATAATTAAAATAAATAATGATAAAATAACCGTAAATCACATGAATTGGATGATTTCAGCTTAGGTAAGCGAGATACCCTTGAAATGAATGCACTTTTGTGGACACAAAGATACCAAAGGGTAAGAACTCAAATAATGTATTACTTATTAGTGTATGTTACAATGTCCCTAATGAATTGTCAAGTCCCCCTTATATATTAGGGGAGATCTACCTTTTAAGGTATTATTTTAATGTTCTATAAAAGGCAAAAGTTCATAATTTGCTAACAGTTGGTCCTTTTTTACTCGTTCCATGATTTTTGCCATAATGATTGGTTAATGGCGAGAATTACGGACCCATATCGGATGAGTTGGCAAAGTTTTCTTCGAGACCGTTAGAAACAGGACCGGTTACGCCTTCGGTAAACTCGAGAGCAAATCTGATGGTTTCGATGGCTAACTTTGTCAATGCTTTGGGTTCGATCACAATCACCATATGCCGATCTTGGCTAATGGTGTTAGACGTCAGATCGATCTTCGAGCTCGACTTCACCCGATCACAGTTATTTCGACCATGGCCTAATCAGTGAGTTCGGAAGCTCGATCGAATATCGGGTTCGATTTTACCCGTATACAAAGATATAAATAAACTTATGGGTAAAAATGATTTGTGTATAAACTATAAGGAAGAAATTAAAATACCATCACATATTCTATTCTTCCTTATCTTTCGTTTGCATCGGGTTTTAAAAAATAATGGAACATCTACCAAGGTTGTGAAAGTCATTAACTCATTAGTAGCTTCATTGAAATCTCGTCTGCTCTTTAATTCGTGAGTAATTTTAGGCGGTAAAAATTATCTCATGTTAACCACATGTATTAATTACCATGATAAACTTATAAATTAAGGTGAAAATATATGCTCCCTCCGGTCCACAATAAGTAATTTTTTGGCCCTTTTTTTATAGTCCAAAATATATGATTTTTTCAGATTTCAATAATGAATTAATTTTTTTTCCTACATTGCCCTTGGAATAAATAGTGTTAGAGTATGTGTTAGGAGTGTTTATGTGAAGAGATAGTAAATGTTAATATGGTCAATTTTATTACTAATTAATGTTAAAAGGTAAATTTCTTAATCTATGTGAAAATAACCAAAAAATCACTTATTGTGGACCGGAGGGAGTACTAATAAAAGATTGTATGTGCATACACATGTCATGCATTTATTGATTTTGTGTAAATGTTAAATGCTTATAAATTTTAATATAGGCGGTTTGAGTTTATACAACAAGATTAGTATATATTTTAGTTTAACTCTCATAAAGATGGTGTTCGAATCATCTTACACGCATCTCTACCCCTCACAAAAACTTACATAATATTTTAAGAAACTTTCAAGGTTAACATAATAGTTTTTAAAATTATCAACACATAGTAATTTCAATTTTTAACATTAAGTATAGTGCCAAAAATTATTTCATAAACGTTGAATAGTTCAAATCTATTTTTAGGTAAAAATTAGCTTCGTTCATTTTCTTTTTCTAAATTCTTATCAGGAAAAACTCTCCTTTTTCACCACTAAGTAGAATGTTAATAATTTCATACATTTCAATAATGCAAATATAATTTGAAGTTAAAAAATAATAAATAAAAAAAACCTTGGTCCACTTGGAAAATTCTTTTGAGCTTTAAAGTAATTACTTTAGTGGGGCCTAAGTCTTGAACCAGCCTTGTCTGGGGCTTCCAATATCGACTGCTCTACCTCAGCTAAATCCCAGACTTTTCCGTTTACGGAAATTTTTGGTCTTGATCAAAGGATTTGCTCTAACCATTTAGTTATTAGTATATGATTTCCGTAGTACTCCATTAAACATGGTAAGTGAAGTTTGTTACCCAAAATTTAATTTGTTGAATGGCTCCAAACATATTTGTTAAATTTGGTAATTAGAGACATTTGACTTCTAATAATATTATGTCTAATATTTCTTCTTTACTTTTCTTTTCGAGCAAAGAACGAGAGTCTTGCACTCTTGCTTTAGAATGAAAACATCAATGATGTTTTGGTTTAATTTGTAGCTTGAGTCTGCAAAATCAATTTCTTTGGTTAATAAAAACGCACTTTAAAGAGTAATACCAAAGTTACCGAACCACACAATCGAAACCGAAAAGTAAAAAGCAAAACCATAGAACTGAAATCTTTCAAAACCGTACCTAGCCGACCGATGAACACCCTAGTCAAGTTTTACGCCATATAGCTTTCTATATGATTTTTCAAAGAATGTCTGAAAATATCTTCCTTTTCCATGCGAAAATAAACAGTCTTTGACATGATACAGTACGAAATATACAATTTACTGTGCCAGTTTTCCCTATAAGATTGAAGTAGATGCCAGTTATATGTCACGTTTTGTGGCATGGCCAAGCGGTTTGAAGAACAATCTTAGTAAACCCTGCCTCAACGTCAACCATACATAAAATACATGAGAAACCTGCAAGAGGGAAAAGAAAATGAGATTAAGAACACTTCTACGCTTCATCTACCTTCCTCCGGTTTCACAGTTTATGTTTTCTGGAAACAGTGAAATGATTCTCAAGGCATTCCACTGAAGTTCTTAAGATGATATAAACATACCCAATTAGTACACTGGTTTAATTAGGGTAATAACCCGACTTAGTTCGGACCCCTCCTCAAAAAGAAAGAGAAAAACTACTACTACTACACCATAATCCCAAACTATATAAGGTCAGCTACATGAATCCTCATCCCTCCATGTAAACTTATCTCAATATATTCAAATAATTTAGATTCTCTAGCGCTAGAAGTTCTCTACATTTTCTAATGGTATACAAATCTCTAATTAAAAGACTACCAACAAACCATGAACCCAAAATAAGCATTCGAGTATGACTAAGTTTTAATATCAACTAATTGGTATCACTTGTATGAATTTTTTCTTCCATTTCGCTTTCATGGTAACATTTTCTATCAAAAGGAGGAAAATTGACTTCCTTCACCTATAGGCTGAAGTCAATTTCCTTACAATTATCTTTAACTATTAACTTCGTATTATTTGCTTCAACTAACATTTAGACATTATTATTATTATTCTCTAATACTCAAGAGTTTCATCAAAATACTCTACAATTTGCTAATATTATGATTAATCTTTAATATACATTTTTTTCTGGAAATTACCAACCAAACACCAGAAATAAATTTACTGTGGATGACATTTTCCATGGAAAGTGACTTCTGTAGTACCAAACACACCCTCTTTCATACGCTTTCTCCAGATCTTTAAATGCAAAATGCAGATCCTTCTTCCTCTCTTTATAAATTTGATTAATCTTCTTAGCAACAATATAGTTGTGGAGCTGCTAGATATAAATTCAAACCGGTTTCGACACTATTGTAATATCCTTGAGTCTATGTTCTATCGCTCCTTTCCAAGCTTTCATCATATGACTCATAGGTTTAATGCCATTAGTTTGACAACTTTAAACATCTCTTTTGTTCTTATATATTGGAATCAAGGTACTCTTTCTCTAATCGTTTGGCATCCTTCGACTCCTTAGTATTGCATTAAATAGTTTGGTAAGCCAAACTACTCCAACCTCTCCACGATACTGCCAAACTCTAAAGGAAACCATAATAGCTGAAAATTATTTGATCAAGCAATTTACTTCATATAAAACAAACCATTAATTGGTTTTTACGTCTCATTAAGGGGCATCAAATCAACACCTTGGGATGGAAAATGATTATACCCAAGTCTAATACATTGATTTAAGTAGGTTTCTAGCATAGGCTCGTTGACAGCCATCAATTGCCTCAATCAAATCATCATATCCAAACCTAGTACCTTAATTTAGTATTGTTTTTAACCGATAATCTCACTCTCATTAACAATTGGCAACAAAAAATTAGCATCCAACGAAGAAAAGGTAAAAGCCCCAGCAGATATCCAAATAAATTGATACATGGATGGAATCTTAGAGCGACCAATGGCATGAATCATTAGGAACAAACTTATCTACCAAAGGCGAGTGAACATCTGAGATGAGAAGTCAGAGGTCTGTTTACACTCCTCATTATTCCACACTTCAGTTTATGGCTGTGGTGAGAGATTACACCAAATATCATTTAGAAAACTAAGGTGATTTATTAGGATTACTATCTTGAGATGGAGGCAGAAAGCAAGTTACATGGTTTCTCACTGTAAGGAATATTTATAAAGGCAAGTCTTTGCATTTAGTACCTCGTATCAGAAATGCAAACTGTAAAGTCCAGGCAGAGATACTTACCTAAGTATGTAGTATATTAGGAAAAAGGAAAGCACAAAGTATCCGACGAGTTTGCACATTTTCCGATTTGATTTCTTCTCGAATACCTAAGGAAGTAAATGGGTTGTTAACTTTCATTTGACAAAGGAAATTACAGGAAAACAAACATATGCATATCCTATAAGTATGTCTCATGAAATCACACACACACATGACATAACAACATAATTTATCACAAGTGCTTACCATCTTGAATCGATCCATGGTTCCTGACATGATTCCTCTAGATGAATCCATCTCATTCCCCTAATGGAAATGATCCAAGAAAGAAAAAGTTAACTAGTAGTGTACGCAAAAGATTCACAAAACTAGCCGGCTTACCATTCGGTCTAGCACTCGGCTGTGGTTCTCCACCTCCTCATGTATGTCACCTGTTAACTGTCCAAGTGCAAATATACTAAGTATCAATGCCTGGAGAACATTAAAAGTACATACCAGACGTGCTGGAACTCCAAAACAAATATCATGAGTGCTAAAGAAGATTACACATGATACGACAACACAAAGAACAACTTTCATTTACATAGCTGTGAGCATCATTTCCTCTAAACTTGATGCCCTTATGCAACTTCAGTAGGCAAAAGTTCTACGAAAATGCAAATAATGAATGGAGCTTTGCCAGTGAAAGTAGCACCAGAAATATGAGAATGGATTACCCTACAGAAGGCCAAGGACGCATTTTTTCTCCAACTTCTTGACTTACACAGAACCTCAGCAGTTAATCTTGGTCTTCTCATGTTTTTTAATAAAATTAGGTACAGCTTTGGTTAAGAGTCACATCACAAAAGACAGTTCAAGACACGTACTGCACAAAAATACCCTGGCTCAATGCTCAGACTTTCACCCATAACAGTAGCATCAGGCCATGTGGTCACAAGATGGCAATGAGGCCTACCTTTGCCATGGGCATAAACACAAAATTACAGTTCAGTGTACTGTTTTTTTAACCATGAGAATATGGTCATAGCATTGCAGCTTTGTTAACCATCTGGGAGCATTCTGTTTTGACACCTCACGTGAGGACTGCCTGATAGACCTTGAACATGAACCATGTTGTCCTCCTTAGCCAATAATACTAGGAGTTAAAGATCAAATAACACAGCCTATCACTACATTTTTGCTAAAAACCTGGTGAAACTGGGAATAGGGGTCCAAATTGGCTTTGGTGCAGTAATTAATTAATGTTGTACGCAATAGCACTTTGGTCAGGTAGCTTAAAGATAAGATGCCATGTACATTGGCCATATCACTCTTCAAAAGGTCTAGGTTTTTTTCCGAAAACAAAAATGTTAACCTTAAATTCTACCTTAATTTTGTGACAGTAACTGCAGATCCAGTGAATCTAACTCAGAGTTGAAGTGATAAATTTGATTGCAGGGATCATGTACAGCTTAATTAAGTGGTCGTTTTATTGGAGGATTAGGAAATAATCAACATAAAATCCTGCATAAATAATGCAACGTTTGGTTGGAGGGATTAGGGATAAAATCCCAGCATAACTAAGGCAGTGTTTGGTTGAAAGTATTAAACAATCCCGTATTAAGTCATGCGAGAGCCTATGCATTATTTTTTGATGGATAAAATGTGGAATAAGAATACACATGTTAGCAAAACAGAGATAAAATTATTTAAAGACAAATATTCTTAAAGTACGCAATTCCTACATAATATTCCATTAATTATTATTCACCGCATAAACAATCTTTGGATTATAAATTAACAATCCAGGCATAAGTAGTATGTGAACCAAATCATCCCTATGTAAACTGTATAGGATAAACTTTCGGCACTTTTGAAAATTCTCTTACTTTCAAAGGTAGATAAGCTTACACAAAAATCACAGCTCCTCAGTGGACTGTATGCTTCAAAACAAAGAAAGAAAAGATTTAATACCGAAAAGGGGGAAGAAGATGAATGAAGCATAGCAAAAACTTACTTTCTTTAAAAAGCTGACTCTGTCTTGTAAGCTATCCACAGCTTTGTCGTTGTCTCTTTCATCAAGATCACGGGGATAGGAAGATGAAGCCCTTATACCACCTTCCTCAATACTATCATAGTTATCAAAGAGAGCAGCTCTATGGGCTCGATGATCCCTGTAGAATAGGAAGTTCAAATGCAATTTGTAAGGCCATGGGACAAGAATAATAGAGACTTCTGGATATTATTACATATCTTAGCAGTCAGTAGGTAATGTACTGCTTTGCTATGTCATATCATTGGGACTAATTAGCTGTACAAGACCCCCCTCGGGTGATCAATATACCGATCATAGAAATAAACCCTTCAATGAAATAGATTATGTGAAGCAGGAAGAGCTATTTATCTAGTGTATATGCAGATACGTGAAAGATACAAGTTTAATGTCCAGATAACATAAATTAGATGTGAGACCTTTATTTTGCTAAATCAGGAGGAGAAATCCTGGCACATAAATTGCTTGCGGCATGAGGGCACACCCTAAAAGAGAAACAATTCATACCCTACCCCCATATACAGAGAGTATTGGATCAAGTTCTGGCTTTCCAAAATCCATGTTACATGGATCCTTCATTTGTGTTGATGTACCCATGCTGAGTGGCTGTGATATGAATATCGGTACTCCGTACTTATTCTTCAAAATGCACTATAAACTAGCAAACCTGAACATTCCCATACAAAATACTTGCACACATCTGTATTTGATACGTACAAATAGCTTGGTCCTTATATACAGCTCAAAATATATTAACAAGCACTAAAAATAACTACAGGAAAGCATGACAACTAGCCGAAGTGTCCAACATGGGTTGACAAGTAATGATCCATATCAATCAACTATATCTCAATCTCAAACTAGTTAAGGTCGACTATATGAATCCTCTATATCCATTCCACAAATAATTTTTGACAATCGATGATTGACTGCAGTACATTACTTTCACATTGCACCTTCTCTTTCTGAGTAGTCAAATTCGTAATAGGCATGTCCTGTGAGTGTCAAAGTCCAAACAAGATATTGCTTCTTCAAGTACATCTTTTTTTCTGTTTTCTTTCATATATCCCTCTTCAAATGTCCAAGTTTCATGGCAGCAAACATCAGAGACCCAGCAAAAAGAGCATTCACTTGGCACATAGGAAATCAGTTCATGATAGCTGAAATGCAATCCTTTCTTATGTCTTCTATCGCCTAACCCCAGTCTAAGCTTCAATTATATATCATTATACGCCCTCCAAATATCCAATTATTTCTCAAAGTTCCGCATCATGAATTATATCTTAGTGCATTTAAACTGGCATCTTAATCCATGTGTCACAATCATGAATTATTCTTCCCAGGCATTCAGCCAAATCTTAACAGTTAGGCTGATCATAAGCGCCAATTGCGATATGCTTAATCTTTTCTTCCTTCAGACCAGAAAATTCCCATTTCGACATACTCTTGAAATAAGTATTCCAACTACTCAGGTATGCCTCGTGCCCAGAGACCAAACTTGTCTGACTAATTTCCCTAGAACACAAGTGCGGAGCCAGAAGCCTAGTTACAAGTTAGACCGACCTAGTAGCTTTTGCTCAAACTGTATATTTATGTTAAGAAACTCATTAAATATGTACAAATATAAAATTTAGAACCCAGTTATTAGCACTTGTAGTCGTGGTTTTAAAATCCAGAACCCATAAAGTTGAAATCCTGACTCTGTTACTGTTTGCCTATCTTTTAAGAAGCAAAGCACACAAAAGCAAACTGGAGCCACAACAAACATGTCAATCCACTAAAAATCAGATCAATGTGCCACTACATATATAAACCCTCCGTCCCAAAGTATTTTCTCCTTTTCCTTACTTTGGATGTCTAAATTTCAAAATTAGAACTTTCCATTCCAATGTAAACCATAACTGTAAGCTAAGTAACATGATTCGTGAAAACCTTATTATCGGGGGCGGAGCTACTGTGGATGTTGCTTGTTCGGCCTATCAGTAACTTTGGTTGAAAACGTATATTTGTCAAAGAAATACATCGAATATGTACAACTTACTAGTTTAAAACTCAGTAACTTAAAAGTACTGGAATCTCAAACCTATAAACTTCAAATATTAGGTCCGCCTTTTTATGCATAAGGCCAATGGTGGCATACATTAGCATACATTCAAATTCACAGTTTTTGCGTTCCAATGGCATGTAAGTAAAAATATGAAGAATGCTTGTATATATGTAAAAGTGCAATAGAGAATCGAACAGAGACTGACCTCCGATAACTCATTGCAGAAATTCCAGCTCACAGTTGTCACTGGTGATCCGAATTGAATTTTTTGCATACAAGAGGAAATGGAAGATTCTAGAAGTTAGGAGAAGAAAATTCGAGTAGAAAATCTTAAATTGGAAGAGCAAGTGCAGATCTGGAAATTTTCTCTGGAATTTTCTTATTTATAAAACGAATCGAATTGGAAATGCTAGAAAGTGGAGAATTATATGAAGAATGCTTAAGGTGTTGGGAAAAGAAACTGAAATTTTGAGTTAACCAATGAGAAATCCCTTAAGACGAAACAGAGAGTAATCTTACGTGTCGGTGCCTATTGAAATGAATTTTTTAATTATTTACAACTAATACTGTAATAGCTTTGATATAGTGTTTGAATATTCAAATTTTAATTTTAAAATATTAAATTTAATTAATCCAATTTATTTTAAAAGATTAATCAAATTAATATAAATTAAAACAAATGGACTATAATGAAGTGATAGTATTAATGTGTTAAAATAATAGTCTCGACGTTGTTTCATTTTATATAACAGTTTCTTCTTCTTCTTTTGTCAGAAAAAGAGTGACATCTTTATAAACCTAAAAACTCGTATGTTTGAATTGTTATAGTTTTAATATGCTCTTATCAGAATGAGATGACACGCTAAACTTATCTTTTGCGTTTATTTTACATGGAAGTATTTTAGTGAAAAAAATTTAAAAATTAAAGAGAACTTTTTGACAAATAAGCTAAATGTGTAAAAGCATATCACTAATGTCCTTAGAATCTTATGGTCTTAAATATATTATGTAATTCGTATGAAAGAGCGACATTAAAGATAAAATAGAAATACTCAAACTAATGAGTTTCCAAATACAGAGTGATATTCTTTTTGCAAAGAACTAAAAATGAAGAGTAACATATAACAGAAGTTGTTTTATACTCGACTTTAATAATTCTTTCATTAATTTATTTGTAATGAAAAATATTACTTTGCAACTGACACAAGTTATGTGAAGGTTATTTATATTTGACAAGCGAAACTTGTGGAATCGAAAATCTTATATTACCCAAGATTTGTCCTCAATAAACTGAGATTGACAACAAGCAAATTGGGTCAAAAGTATTATGTATAGCAGCTCCCGAAACTCAGGTGTAGACAGTAAGGAAAACTCAGTTTGGAGGGTGTTGTCCACACGGGCGACGCGGGTTCGATCCCCCTCAATGCCCTCTGGGCCTGAGTTTGTCGCACGGGACTTGCCTAGTGCGGTTTACATCCTCTATGTGGTTTGCAGGTTATTATACAGTGGGGGTTTACCCAGTGCGCACAGACTCACCCGAAGGGCATAAGCTGTGGCAGAGGCTGTAGCGGTCGCGAGTTTTCCTGGGGTTCCAAAAAAAAAAAAAAAAAACATTATGCCAAGGTTATGGCTAACAAATTTTGGATATAAACTACAGCAATAGACAATAGCTCAAATTGAGCAGTAATAATTTGTAATTACTATCTCAATCCATACCTAACAATAGAATTAACGGATAACAAATAAAGAAGTCTATTCTGAAGATGAAGAACATACATAAATTAACTGCAATGCATAAATATGTACTTCTGAAGACCTTGCTGTTCAACAACTTGCAATGAAATATTTAAATCAACACCAGAGAACCAGACATCTTTAATGTCTGGATCTCTGATGTTGACATCGCGTCGAACTATATTCTAATCTATCATACAAATGCATCAAATTAAAAAAATTACCACACTAAGTGAACCACTTCAAACAATATGATCAAGAATGAAAAGAAGCTCCAAATTGCATTTGCCACTCCATACAATCTTCAAAATCAATGCTGCTGGCGCAGTCCAGTAAAGCATTTTGTTGTTGCTCAAACCGGCAAAGGTAGTTTAATCCAACAAGCAGCTCGCAAATTACTGCCTCCATCTTCTGGCAATCAGCAAAATACAATGTCTGAAGCAAGAGAACATTAGTTCTCTTAACAATCTGCTGTTGCTCAAAATTTCGCTCGCTTTGCCACCTGATCATATTATGTGCTAAAGGTGCAAGCCATTTGAGTAACTCTTCAAGTCTCTCTTTCCAATCGTGGGCAAGAGGCGCGTCATATATGGCTAAACCTTTCATATATGATCTCAGGCTAGACTTCAAAGTCTTCCTTAAGCTTGTCGGTAACATCTGATATAGATCATCCCTCCCTTCGTCGCCAACCAGATGTGGATACTGAAGTAGCTTTTCTATGACAATAATCACATTTGCATAATGTAAGGCTAAAGCACGGCCTCCAACTGTTGTAGGAGGAGCATACAACAACGTTATCCTACTTTTGGGACCATGTTTTGCAGCATCGGACACACAACTCTTTAGCTGTCTAGCATTTTCGTTTAAACGGATACTGCTAGGAGACCTATTGAAAGAACCTGAAATATTAGATTGCTCCCTTTTCGTACCACTTGAAACACTACAACATCCAGATATCTGACTACTTCTATCATCAGTTCCAAGATCGTTCTCAACATCCATTTTTGAAGCAGAACTCAAACTTAGACATTCCATGAATAGCCTCCCAGGTCCCATTCCACAAGCGAAATTAAAATTCTCGGACCCAAATAAGCTCCCTTCGTTTCTTCCAAGCTTAGATTGAGCATTGTGGCTCGTGCTCCTCTTTCCTAACGCTCCTTTCTCAATTTGCCCTGAATGACAGCTACCGTTGCTATTCCTCAAAACAGACTTCTTGAAATCAGAATTCACAACTTCAGACCTCTCACTGGAGTCTCGCTTCAGCTGCTGCAAACCGCCACTGCAACCAATTTGCGAGCCTGCAGCCGGATTTCTCAAAAGGTCCCTCTTTACAAGTGCACTTCGGAACACAGTACTAATCCGAGCATATACTGTACATACAGTCCTTGCCAACAGTTCAACAACTTTATCATAAGTCTGATTCCAAAGTGAAACATCTTCTAAATGCTTCACATCTTGTTTCTGCCAAGCCAACTTCTGTTCGTACGCTTTTCGACTCTCCTCATGTTGATTCTGCTGAAATTTCTTTGTTGCCATTTCCAATTCATTCAATACAGCCATCTCACAATACAAACTAGCTGTTGAATTCACATACCTCTCCATTTTCTTTATCATTCCCTCCATATCCTTAACCAAAAATCCCAAATCCTTCACATCAATTACCCCACAAATAATATCCCCATATACATGCTCAAAACCTTGTAAAGCACTAATTGTACATTTTTTCCCAAGTCTAGACACTACACTAGCAACTCTATTCAAGTCATCAAGTTTTTCAGCAAGTACTAATTCTAATAAAACCTCTTCATCTTCAGAAACTAAACTCCTTATTCCTAAAGCTTTAAAGATCTCATTTTTAAGTTTTAAAATCTCAGAATCAGTTAAAGATTTGTGAAGATGAATAATCTTAGACATCATATTAGCTACTTCAAATGATAATATCCCTATAACTTGCTTCTCTTGTTGGTTTTGGCTTTGGCTTTGGCCTTGTTTCTTAACAGATACTAATTTCTTTGAATTTTCTATAAGCAAAGAATGTTTTTTTACATTTGTACTTACCTGATTTCCCATTCTTAAACACCAAGGTTCAGCCACCATTTTTGAAAGGTGAAATGGGGTTTTTAATAGATCTGCAAAAGAAGGGTGAAAATCAAGAAACTTGAAGTGGCTATTTTTGTAATGGAAATGTTGAAGAAATGAATGGATAAAAGAGGGAAATTTGGAAGTGGGTTCATTGATTTGGTGCTGAAAAAAGTGGGAACAATGTAGATGAGTCAAGAAATGCGCATGGTTTGTGGGAAAAAAATGCAAATGATTTCATACAAAGTGAAGTAGTGAAGAATGAAATTGAGTGGTTTTAAAGAAGAGAGGGTTTTTTTTTGCAAAGGAGGACTTGCTCTGCGTGTGAGAATTTGTAATGATTTTTTTGAAAAGGCAATGGCAGTTTTGAAGAGGAAGATGAAGCCAAAGCTGAAAGCCTCACACCCCCCACCCCCGCCTACCAGTACCATAATGTCACAAAAATAAATATATAATGAAAGAATATACTATATGGCAATACTAAAACTTTTAATATCTAGTAGTCTTCGTCACCATAAGAATATATCAATAAATTTAGATAAATATTTTAGCAGCAAAAATATTCAAATTCAAAAGGTTTCTAACAATCTAAGCTAGCGTTTCAACATAAATTTGATTAAAACCTGGAAAAAAGTTTCTGAAATTGTGTTGAAAAATAATTTTTGGAAGTTGAAGTTATATTTAGACATGTATTTTATTTGAAGAAAAATTAAAATTTGTGAGTGAAACAAAAAATTTCATCTAAAAAAAGTTTAATTTTTTAAAAAAATTTGATCATATATCATGAACAAACAATTTTTTTTTTAAAATTGAAAAAAAAAGTCAAAATTTATAGTTAAACGGGAGCTAAAAGGAAAGGAAGAAGAATGGTAGTCTTTTTTTTTTGTGCAAAAAAGAATGGTAGTCGTATAATACCTTTGTTGGTTATAATTTTTGTTCTTTATTTGGGTGAATAAATTTTTGACTCTATGAATTTACTTCACGAGTTCATTTTCATTTCAAGAGTTTTCTACCATTTGAAACGGAAAGAATTGAGAATTTGCAAACCAAAAAAAAAAAAAAAAAGAATTACACACAAAATTTTGAAGCTACCTCAGCTGTATGCATTAATAACACATGGAGAAATTTAATATGGTGTTGTAAAAGTTGTCTTTCGTGTTTTCCAAATTTATGGGGATTAAGAACAAGCGGAAGTTTAAGTTGTAACACTCCTTTTGTGTAAAGTTATCTACCTTTAACTTAATGGTCACGAGTTCGAGCCTTAAATTATCATGTGATACCAGTATTAAAATAGGTTGTCTACACCACACTTCTTAGGAAGCGACCTTTCCCGAACACTGCATAAATACAAAATACTTCATGCACCAAACTATTCTTTTTACTCCTTTTGTGTAAGTCTTTCATGTTATGATAGAAAGCGTTTAGCTAATATTCTGTGATAGACATTAAAAAGGATTATATTATTAAATCATCATGAAAGATAATTACAAATAACTATTAACAAAAAATTAATTGGTAATTTGAAAATAAACCAGATAAATGTGTTACAATAGGTTAATTATAGTGATAGTGAAAATTTTTAATACATTATCAATGTAAATCCGATGACAAACATGTTCCATATTGATATTTGATTAAAAAACTTTAGTACAAGAAAGTCTTGTTTCCAATGAGATTCAATCCGAAATGTAT